ATAATACACCTTTGTGTAAAAAGTAATTTTTACCCTCGCTTTTATAATAATAATTAGTACAAATACCCTTATTAATAAACTTACTGCCGGAAATACAATTAGCGAAAAAATTATAATTATTAATAATTATATATTTAACATAGGGGTTTATATTAGATTTAGCGTTAAAAAAATAATAGGCTAGGCTAATAAATTATTCGGGTAATCCTATTTTAAAATCGAAATAATTAATTCTCCCTTTACCTAATATCTTTTTAAATTTAAGCAGCGGATGATAATTTATACTCTTTTATTAAATTTAATTGCCTTTAATATTAATCAATTAATTTTAATAAGTATTTTTACTTAATTCATAACCAAAACGGTATAAGCCTTCTTAATATTGTAATCGAAGAATTTTTTAATAGCGAAGCGGACATATTTCTCGTTAGGCCAATTACTATTTAAATCTTCTAATATTTTATCGTCGTCCATATTTTACGCAATAGATTTGCCCTTAAAGGTATAAAGCTGGAGCTTTACAATAATATCACTTTTTTTATTAACGGATATATTTTCCTTTTTTAGTATTAGTTTAAAATAAATATACGTTAATTTTATATATAATATACGCTTATAAATTGATTTTAATATATTGTAATCGTTAATAGATAATAGGTTATTATTGTAGTAAAAGTATTTACGTATATTAAGGTATATAGAGAAGCGGGGTTACGTATAATGTGAGATGGATTTAATTATTAAATTAAATTTATGTCAACGCGCCTGGGCGCGTACTTAGTGCCTGCAGCTGACACGGGCCATTTTCTGACCAAACTTTTTCAATTGAGCATAGCCAACACTTGGGCCACCGTACACTTGCGAACTATCAGACATGTTTGCCCTTCTGGATAATGACAGGTACCCCCGTCTGTTTCCGACAAGTCGTTTACTAACGGCAACAGGTTTAGGGCTTGGTATTACAAACACAAACCCACATACGACCTACATTAAGTACGTGAAGCATGTCTCAAGACGGAAGGACGACAACGAATATGTCTCAGGCGCAAATATGCCAGCGAAGAACGATCTACGTCTCAGTGTACACATTGTGCTCCCGGGTTACCTCGTCAACTCGTTTACACCCTTCCCAGTTTGCGCTTCATGGAAATCATGGAAGACGACTAGTCAGTTCATCCATCCAGTTTGGGCTCGAGATGGTCGTTCAAGCGCACACGCCCGCGTGCTGTGCCACGTCGTCACGGATATGTCCGATGACTCCTACTTCACAAGTCAGAGGGAGAATTGGGAAAACAGCAATGCCGTGCCTCGGTGACAGTCGCACCAGCCACAAAAACTTACACGCACCCACAGTCATGGAGCTTCACCGTCCACCACACCTTGCCAGCTAGCAGGTCTGCCAGCTAAGCTAGCTAGCTAGTGCTCTGGGCTCGCCTTACCTGAGTAATTGGCCAACGAGATGAACGCGCAAGTCCTGGGAAACACAGGGCGAATCCTCCACACTCCTCCCGAGACAATCCCGGCGGATCTGCTCATCCCGTTGGCCGTGTTAGCTGATTTTCAAGCCCTTAGCTGTGTCGTTGACGTCCTCGTCGCCCCATTGTCCAATTCCTCATCTTCCACGGTCTACGTGGACTAGTACCTCCATTGTGCCAGCTGACAATAGTTGTTGCTCTCGTGGACACGCAGCTTACACCGCTTCAGCTAAGTAAAGAAGGACAGGAGTAGATGTGGTAGAAGTTGTGAAAGGCAAGATGGATGGTCAAAGCTAGCTAGCAAAGTAGCAAGCTAGAAAATCGCGTGGACTGAGAGTCACAGTAGTACCTACTCCATGTCTACTTTGCTGCTGTGTCGTCGTGTAGCTACGTGTGTGCTACGTACACATCATCGGGAACACAGCATCATTGTCTAGCTTTGGAGTTCGGGTAAGTTTGGACCCGGCCGGGAGGTTTGATGGGGCTTGATGGGGCTTGACGAGGTTGGAGCGTTGGAGCAGCAGCAGTTTGGGCAGGTTGGGGAAGTCGGAGGGGCAAGGAGAGAGACAGAGTGTTGTTGCGAAAGAGTTCCAAAGAGAGTTTGCCGAGGTTCATGGCTGTTTTGAGAGAAGGTTTGGTGTCTCACGAGTCTTACGGTTCACAATGTCCGAACTCCGAGGTTGGTGTTTTGGTGGTGGGGTTGTGGTTCAGTAGTCTACTTTATGAGTTCATGTAACTCACCGGGCAAGGGGGTAAAAGGGAGAAAAACAAGGAACAGAGAGGGAAGGAAAGAAGACATTGATATCCGTAGTATAAATTTTTGAACACAAATCAACAAGGTCAAAAACCGGAAAATCAAGACATCCTCGCCTCTTAGAGGAACAACTGCTAATAAATCGGGAAGACAATCCAGCTGCTCTCTGAAGAGGGCAAGCGCGAAAAAAAAAAAAAAAAACAAGTCCGGGAAATGAGAAGAAAAGAAGAAACATTGCCTCATAGAACGATGAAGTCCGATCCATCAACTGGAACTAGAAGACAGCCCATTTCATGCAGGGATTCTCAGTCTGAAGATCTGAGGACATGTATTTCACATCTGAACATGGCGATTTTCAGGCGAGAAAAGTCTATGAAAATGATCGTGATTTTATGAGAACAGCCAGCTAAACCATGCGCATTTGGCGTAGCCACGCCAGAAGAGGCATATAGAAGAATGAAGGGATGCCAAACAAACATAACAAAAGTGAGGCGTTATAGGAGGAGGAAGCGGAAAGAGGTGAGAAAATAAGTAATAACAACATAAGATGGAACAAAAAGAGGAAGAAGAGAACTGCAAAAGGGTAAAATTAGAAAAAAAAAAAGAAAAAAGAAGGGAGACTGCCAGCGTGACGGAAGAGGTGTTAATTTCTAGGGGGGCAAAGAAGAAAAGAAAAAGAAAAAGAATGGAATGAAAAAAATAAGGGATGATGGGACCAACCAACCACCAGACCAACACAACGGAACACCTTCTAGAACGCAACGGAAAAAAAAAAAAAAGAAAAAAAAAACCGGAACATAAACGCAGATCCCAGAGTCCCGATGATGATGAATGAATAACGGCGGGAGACAACCAACCTATGACGACTTGTCTGTCTGTCTGATAACAAACAGACAGACTGGAAGAATTGAGCAAAGTTACCTAGGTAATCAGAACCCAAGAGAAAAGAGCAACCAACTAGTCTACCTACCAAGTCGTGAAACATACATCAAAAAAAGTTCAATCTGAATGAATCAAGCAAGATTGGGCAGCAAATCACTCCGACCAAAACTCTTTCCAGCTTTTTGTTCTTTTTAAAAAGTATCTGGAAAGTATCTGGAAAGTGCTGTCTGGAAAGTGTCTGAGACATGGAATAGAATCCGTCGTGTTCTGTACATACATACATACATACGTACGTAGTACACTCCCTCCTCAGTACTGTACAGTATAGACTTTCTGTTAGAAGTTATCTAGGAAATGCTGGCTGTCCTGCACGCATCCTGATTGATGCTTGATGTATCCGGCTCTGGCAGGAGGAGAGGGAGAAAAGACGGTAGGTAAATACCTATGCAACAATCGTAACTTTTATTTGTATTGTTTTTTTTTTCACGGGAAATCATCACCGTTTCTTTCATCAGAAGCAGAAGCTAGTGCCGGTATCGATACTGGTTGTCGCTTGTCGGGCATCTGCCACTCACTGTCAATGTTTCCCGACCCCGGCCATGGGACTGGAGGGAGACATAAATCCTGATTCTTTTCTGCTTCTGACCTTATTAATCCTGCTCCTGAGCCTGAACATGACACACTTATCCTGATCCTGATTTAACCTGATCCTGATTCATCCGGATCCGTTTCCGCGTCATAAATAACCACCAAAACCGAGTCCAGAACCGAGTCCCGACCCGAGTAAGGAAGCCAGACCCGAACCCGGAGCCAGTCTCGAGTCCGGAGGCGGAGGCGGAGGCCGGTACCAGTTGTCGTTTGTCATTCATCCCACGTCCACCAGTGTCCGGTCTGATTCTTTCCGTACCCGCTGCCACAGAAATCTCATGCTGTTCTCTAAAGATCTGGATGAAAGTGTTTTCATTCCATGATGGTATAGAAGAAAGATACCCAAAAGACAATCATGCAAGATGCGGTCAAAACCATCATACCCATTACGAAAAGAACCATAAATGCTAGTTAGATACCAAGATAACGACAGCAAACACCCGCCCAATGCGCTCGATAATGATTGTACAGAGCATGCAAGTGATCCAACAAAAAACCTCCCAGATACCCATCATACCTTTTCATTTCCTTTTTACCTCCTTCCAGATTCCTCGTCAAAAATGCTTTTCATCTTTCCCCTCTCATCAGTCCCTTGAAGGGTCGCCCCTCCTGTCATGGATCACCATTCAATAAACCACATCGTCTGCGTCTGCCTTGCTTGCTTCGATGAGCTCCTCGGCTCCATCCAACGAACTGGATCCCCCATTGCCCTCGCTCACTGCTGCTACAACTCCCAGTCGACCCCTCTTCTCCCGCCCGAATCCATCCACTTGCCTCTGTACGCATCAAGCATAAAATGCCATCTCCATCCCACTGCGTCGACTGTGTGAAATGCAAGTGACAAAACGACGGTGATAATGATAGGCCAGAAATATGTCTTCTTTTTCCATCAACCCAGCCCACTCGGCCGGAAGCGAGCAGTTAAAGACGTTGGGCAAGCAAAGCCCCAGATCAAAAAGGTATGAGGGGGATAAAGATGGATGGAAGCTGCGGTGGGAGCTGCGGAAACGGTCGCAAGATGTGACCGAGATGAGTGACATTGATCCACAGGATTGGCCGGTGTGATGAGATTGAGTAGGCCGCAGGGTTGGCCGCATGAGGGAATTGAGGCCTGAGCCCCTCTTCACGCGCTTGTTCTCCTGGCTCGGCCTTTCGCTCCGCTTCTTCCCACCACTGTGTCATTCATCCTGCGAGAAGCGAGAGAAGATGGGTAGCGGGACATGGATGTTGGGTTGTTGACATGTCAAGTCGGCATGCACCGGGCCAACAAACCCAAAAATACCGACAGATCCCCGTAGCGGCCAGACGCCCTCGGCACTGCTCGTCGCCCAACCCAGAGTATCACACATATGCAAACACTCTAACAGGCTAGCAACGGCTCATCTCACTCTCCTCTGCCGAACCTCACATCGAAACCCTTCAACACAGCCATGATACTTGCGGCCTCTACTTCAATCGGCGCCCACGCTTTGCCTGTCGACGATTGCCGCATGCTTACACTGCCTCTATTAGGCGGTGGGTTGGCAGGCACTGCTCTAAGCTTGGGCAGCCACGAGCCAATGTCATCAGCTGCTTCCTCGAAGTGCCGATGGGAGGCGATGGTCTTGTAAGCGTCGGCGCAGGAGATGGAGAGGGCGGAGTTACTGGCAGCGACATTGTTGGAGGAAGAAGACGGGTTGAATGGTGTGGGAGCAGGCAGTTGATTGGTGGTCTTGTGGCGGTTGAGGTTGATGGGGACGACGTCGTCGTCGTCGGACTTCTCGGTCTTGCAGCATCCGCCGCCAGGACCGCCGCCGCCACAGCATCCGGACGGGGGAGCAGCGCTACTGCTGCTGTCGGTCTGTTGCCTGTTGCGCTCAAAGTTGGCTGCAAGGGAGCGGCAGAAGAGACCGGACTTGGGATCAGCTAGACACTGGGCACAAGTACCAGGACCACCAGGACCACAGCCACCGGTCTTGACTGGGGGCTTAGGCTGATCAGAGTTGCTTGCGCGGTTCAGAGAACCAAAGCTAGGTAGCTTGACAGCACCAGTAGCCGTGACTTCCATAGGCATGGGAACGACATCGTTCTCAGATGGCGGCGGAGTATGCATCTGGACTTGTTGAACCACCGAGGCCACGGTCATAGAGGCAGCTGAGAGGGCCATGGATTCCGCGCACACGCAGTAGGTCCCGTCCTTGCAGAACCCGCACGACTCGTGCATTTCGACGGAAGTCATGGGCTGGGACTGTTGCTGGGACTGCTGCTGGACAGGGGCTGGAAGGGGAGTAATTGACTCTATCGTTGTCTCAGGCTTCTTGGACGAGAACAAGGCAGTAAAGTCTGTCTCCAACTGGACGTCCTCAACGCCAGCATCAGAGCGCTGCCTCTTCTCATCCGGACCCAACGAGGGCGAGCTGGGAGGTAGTGGCCTCTTGAGGTCGGCAGCCGCAAGGACCCGGATGGACTCCTCCAGACAGGCGCATCTTCCTTCGGGAGTGCATCCGCCGCAGCCCATCAGGACATTGGAACTTTGGAGGAGCTCTTCGGCGCAGGCACATGGGCCACTGCTCTGGCAACTACCACAGGTGACGTCTAACGGAGACTGAGGGACCTCCTCGGGTGGCGAGATGATCTGAGAGATGGAGAAGGGCTGAGCGGTTGGTCGTGGCTCTGCAATAGGAACGGAGTCCACCTTGGTTGCCAGCTGAGGTTGTTGCGAAGGCTGCTGTTGTTGCTGTAGAGTATAACCATTGGACTGTTGTGGTAGGATGGACTGCGGCGACATGTTGTCCCAAGAATTCCTCAGCGCATTGCGGGCCTGCTTCTCCTTCTCCAACATATCCTCCAGCCAGTGGCATCGTGACTGCAGGGTCTGGACTTCGACTTCGAAATGGCTGATGCGACCCTGGAGCTCCCTCACAACGCGATCGTGTTCCTCCTTTTGCTCTTCCAGCTGGTCCTCCAACTCGCCGACGCGGGCGGCCCTGCGCTCGCGGAAAGCTCTCTGGGCAGCGCGGTTCTGGGCCTTGCGCTTAGTAGGCGGGGTATCGGTGGCAGGCTTACGTCCAGGCTTTGGTCGGGGAGGGATGACCCATTCCTTGCTGGTCATGCTCAAGGGGCCTCCCCCAGGAGTAGGGCAGTCGACGGGTGACATGGCACCTTGGCTAGATACGGAAGCGGCTCTAATGGGGGCAGGCCTGGGTGCGACACTGGGACGAGGCGCAATGGGAGGCACGCCAGTGAGGTTGGTGGTGGTGGTTGCAGTGTTGGAAGTCGATGATGCCGGAGTGGAGCCACCACAGCTTGAGGCTGGAGAGGGGGCCGAAGAGGCAGGGGTCGAGACGGCACTCGGGGAATCCCGCTTAGCAAAGGTGGCTGCCGTGGTTGATGATGACGATGCCTGCTGTAGGGCTGACAGGTCCATATCAGATTGGAGATGTTGTTGTTCAATGGACATGATCACCGAGGTCATCTGACCGGCCATGGGAGCGGCAGAGGCGACGACTGTCATCGCAGTGCTGCCGTCGCTGATTGAAAAGGGATTGATGTTGCACAAAGAACCGAGGTGCCAACCAAGTGAGCCAACCAAGGAACAGACCAGTCAATGGCAGGACTGGCTGAGGATCTGATAAGATGCCGTGTGATGGAATTCGTTGGTGGATTGGACCGTGGGAGGTTCCCGTGTTCGGGCGGCCGGGGCAGGCGTAGGTTTTTAATGTCGCAGGCAGGGAGTGGGCACTGGAGAACAGCGGGCGGAACAGTGGATTGGGTCACTGGCCGTTGGCGCTGTCTTCTTTTTCTGGGGCACTGAGCCGAAGCCAAGAAAAACGTGGGGCAATTGTCCACTCTTGTCCGACTGCCGAATTCTTGAAGAAACAATCCGGTGAACCCCGTTGTCCAACGCAAATTGATGATGATAACAATTGGTTGGAGATTTGTATAAGATAAAGATGTCGTATAAGATAATGACGCAGTGCGTGCTGGTCCCTCGTGTGGCAGCTGCGTGCTGTGGCAGCGTGAGTGCGCTTGGACAGATGTGGGACTCGATGCTCCTGAGACTTTGACGTGCAGTGATGGAAATAAAAAAGGGACAAGATTCCTCTCCGACAATGAGGGGTCGTCGATTTCCTTTTGGCAAGAACAACCGCGGAAAATTTGCACCTGGGAATGATCCGACACGGAAGGAGCGACGGACTTTGGCTAGGGTCTCTCGGATCCAAGCGAATTCCGGTCAGTCTCGCCCACAAAATGAGGGCTCTCACTTGTTTGATTCGATGGCTTCCACTTGTGATGCTGATGCCCTGGTTGCCTGGCTGACGAAAGGAGCAAAAGGCCGAACACGAACAGTAACAGTCTTGACGAGAGTGCTCCACTGATTGATTGATAAGATTACGGAAACAACGCTAGTACAATCGCAGAATAGCGGCAGTCGCTAGAACCACTTGTGCGTCATGTGCCTGTCCGATTCGGCCGTCTTTCAACCTGTCAACAGATCAAAGAACGGAAGCGTGGAAGCGAGATGTTCAACATGCCATTTTGACTGTGTGATGCCCTGGTTATGAGGCAGAATCGACATGCTGATCTTGTTCATCCCTTGGTACCGAGCCAATACTTTTGAATTACGACAGGCAGCCGCCGTGTATCTCCTCACCGTTGACCATCAGGGTTGCAAGCCATGTCGGCAGACGAAGGCAGTCTCCACGCTGGGCAGGGGAAAGGGAAGAAGGGTGTCAAAGAGAGCCGTGAATGAGTCAACAGACTTGTTGATTGACCAAAATTTTCTCATCTCGTCCTTGGCGTAAAGTCAGAGTTGGATGTTGACGTAGACGCGGCCGAGGTGTCTTGCTGAGAGACGCCATTCCAAATGCTGTGATGAATGAGTAGCTGTCAGCCACGCATGGTATCTACCAAACCGTGGCTTCAATTCGTTCTGGAATAAACCGCTCACACAATTTTATCAGATCTTTCTTTGCCAGGGATGCCCACGTTGTTGGAGTACCTCTGCGAGTTCATCAAAAAGACGACATGTACTTTCCATTTCCCATCAACAAATCTGGACACACTGGATTTTCCACATGTTGAGAACTTGAACACAAAGCATAGAAGTAGGAGAATGAAAGTGATTTCTGAACCTTTCCGAGAATCTTACGCATAACTGGGCTTGAAGATCAAAAGCCACATTTTTTCATCTCATCACTTGTCCATCACGAAGGTGGTGTTGTTGTCAAGGACCCCTGGCACACTTCAACCCTCCTGCATGAGGGACCCAATGCCAAGAGGAATTATCAGATCGGCCACATCTCCCACTGACCCTCACTGCTGTCGGAGCTCCGACCGAGCCCCGCGAAAACAACAATCACACCCAACCTTCACTTCATCCCTCACCATTCAACGCGCAACCAACGGGGTCCCCAGCTCTCAACAACAGCCAACGGCCCGAACAGAGATTTCCAGCCTTTCCGCAATCAGGAACGAGAATATCCGCTTACGAAGCTTGCCCTGGATTTTGAAGTCATCGGATCAATCAATCAATCAACCCCACACCGCAATTGCACTGCATTCACCGAGGTGCAGTCCCGTCAACGCCGAGTCCATCCCGGTCCGCATTTCAAGCTCAGGAACGGCCGAGCTGTGCCCGAACCCGAACCCGGAGCCGGAGCCGGAGCCGGACCTCGCTAGTCCCACATTTCCGGATAATCAGCCCCTGAACACCGGCAACCAAACAACCACACCCGGCCACGCACCCCGGGGCCAACTTCACCAACGCAACAATGACAACCCTCAACACCCCCAACTTCAACGCCCCCTCCCCCTCCTCACCCCCTCGGTCCCAGACCTCTTCGCCCATCTCACCAAAGTCGACAACCCCCCTCCCCTCCATCACCACCAACCTCAACCCTGCTCCTCCCCTCACCAACGAATCCCAGTCCCCCTCTGACGAAGACGACGACCTACCCGACCTCCCCTTCCCAACCGCCCTCCCCCGCCCTTCCTTCCTCACCCCCTCCTTCTCCCCCCTCGCCTACCTCGACTCCCTCTACGCCTCCCCCTCTTCTTCAGACCCCTCCTCCGATCCCTCCTCCCACCCTTTCTCCCTAGGCCTAGGCCAACGCCACCAAACCCTCCCCGACCTCCGGCACGAGCTCCACACCCGCTCTTTATCCATCAGTTCCGAACTCCTGGAACTAGTCAACGCCAATTATACCTCCTTTTTGTCGCTGGGGGATGAACTAAAGGGGGGAGAAGAGAGGGTTGAAGATATCAGGATGGGGGTGTTGGGGTTTCGGAGGGCCGTGGAGGAGGTGCGGCAGAGAGTAAAAGAAAAGAGGGGGGAGGTGGGGGGGCTGGTGAGGGAGTTGGGGACGGTGAGGGGGGCGGTGGAGTTTGGGAGGGGGGTGTTGGAGTGGGGGGAGAGGGTGGAGGGGTTGGAACTGAAGTTGAATCTAGAGAAGTCGGGGGGAACTGGGATGGGAGGGGCAGGAGTGGAAGGGTGGATGGTGAAAAGGGGTATTACGTCTGCTGGTGGGCTGGAGAAAGAAGAGATGGGGCTGGGGGAAGAAGATGATGAATACGAAGGGTGGGATGATGGATCGGAGGATTTCAAGGAGGAATTAGTGGTGCTTGCCTCCGATGACAACAACACCGAAGAGGACGATGAAGAAGAAAGGGAGGGGTTCGTGGCGAGTAGTCCTGCGGAATTGGAGGCCCTTGCGAAGGAGTATGTCAGGATTGAGCAGATGGTGGATAGGCTGGGTGGTCATGAGGTGCCGTTTGTGAGGAAGATGGAGGAAAGGATGGTTAGGTGCCGGAATACTATCCTGTTGGACTTGAGTACGGCGTTGAAGGAGGCGAGGAGGGCGGGGGAGAGGGGGAAGAAGAGGGTGGTTAGGTATTTGGGGGTTTATAGGGTTTTGGACGCGGAGCAGGAGGCTGTAAGGGCGTTGAAGGAGAAATAGGCGGCAGTGGAGGATGATGGTTGAGTACGGTTTATGTAATAGGAGGCCGCTGCCCGGAGTTAAAAGTACAGTTCTGAGAACACATAATACACATAATAGACATACACATAGAGACAAGCATAAGGGTATACCTGTTACAAACCGCTCCATTTTGCCATTATAATACATGCCTATGATACAAGGAAATCTAGCCCACACCCCGTCATATACATCTTACATGGCCGACTCCAAATCCTCGGGCTTGATCTTGTCGTCGGTAGGGGCAAACTCGGCGTTCAGACTCAACCCAGGACCGTGGGTCGTGCTAAGAACCACCTCCTCCAACAACTTGGGCGTGGTATCATCCAGCTTGCTGATGTCGGACTTGATCTTGGCCATGAACACACGAATGTTCTCGCCCAGCTGCCTGGGCGTGAAGCCGAGCTGGCCGACCGCCATGCGCACGACACCGTTCCTCTCCCTGTACTCGTCCATGCCGATCATGTCTCTGAAGGTGGCCTCGAGGTTGTTGGTGATGGTCTTGGTCTTGCCGCTGGGCATCAGACCCCTGGGACCGAGGAGCTTTCCGACGTTGGCCTTGCGGAGCGCGCCCTCGCTCTCGGTGTGGCAGAGGAGCTTGTTGAAGGAAAAGCTGCCCGAACGGATCGCCTCGAACACGGTCTCCTCGCCGGCCAGGACGGCGCCGAGGTTCTTGGCCTCCTCCTGCAGCGCGCTGCCCTCGGGGCAGATGACGGCGATACGGGTGTCGGTCTTGACGGGGGTCGGTAGGCGGACGCGGTCGCGCACGACGGGGCCGTTCTTTTTTGTCCGGAGCTTGACGTGCACCTCGTACTTGACGGTCAAGGGGGGTTGCCCGACCTCGACGGCGCGGAGGTAGCTGTTTACAATTCTATTAGTAGATGGCGACTAAACACAACAACAGCTGATTCGCAACGCACCGCATGGCATCGCAGAGGGAAAACTGCTGCTGGCCGGCCATGTCCCATGACTTGAAGAACTTGTACTGCTTCTTCTTCTTGGGCGCCTTCTTGGCTCCTCCCTTGTTGGGGTTGTTGGTCGCATATCGAACCTGCGATGCGCCGACCGACGGGACGAGGAACTTGGGTATTGTCGGAAGAGCAGCTCTGGTGGGAGTCGACAGGCTAAGCCTTGCCAGCGAGGCAAGACATTGTTGTGTTGAAGCCATTGTGTGAGGTGTGGTGGTCGGTGTCGCGCTCTCCGGTAGACGGCGGCGGCGGGACGGGGAATCGCGAATCGAATCCTCGAGTCGGGAACGGCACAGTCCAGTCTTCGGGGCCCCGGCGCGGGCAATTGGCACGCCGCCCAGAAAAAAAGTTGGGCCCGGGGCAGACTGCGGCACTGCGCTGCACCGGCTGGGCATTGGCGCGGCAGGCAGCGCATTTCTCTCACTGTTACAACTTGCTGAGCCACAGTTTGTGAGCGAACGCCTCAGTTTCGTCTTGACTTTCACAGTGACAAGCGCCACACCTGTCACACCACTGGACCTACCCCCGGACGCTACCGCAAGCGCTAAACTTCAGCGCACCAGAGGACCCCGCCGCCACTCCACCCACCCGTGCCGCTGTGCCCCTCCAAAAACTTCCTTGACTCAACCAATTGTTTGGTGACGAGATCCTGTCCCGGTGTTTGTTTTCTTGTACAGTTTTCAACCCAATTCCACATACCCCATCGATCACCATGAAGCTGGACGAGCTCAAGCCTCTCGAGGCCCTCCTCACCGCGGACTTCCGCCAGATCGAGCCCCGCCTGCAGGCCCTCGACAAGCACCTGATCCTGCGCACCTATCTCGACGGCTACACCCTCGGCGACATCGACACCAAGATCTGGCTCGCCCTCCGTGGCAACCGCGCCGCCGTCTCCTTCATCAAGCGCGGCTCGCTCGCCAACCTTGCCAGATGGTTCAACTACATCGAGGAGAACCACCCTGAGATCCAGGCCGAGGTCAAGGCCAAGGACGCTGCCGCCAAGGCCAAGGTGGCCGCCGCCTCCAAGGCCGGTGCCAGCTATGCGCTCGCCCTCCAGAACGCCGACCAGGGCGTCGTCACCCGTTTCCTTCCCGAGCCCTCGGGCTACCTTCACATCGGACACGCCAAGGCCGCCCTCCTCAGCGACTACTTTGCCCACCAGGCTTACAAGGGCCAGCTGCGCCTCCGTCTCGACGACACCAACCCTTCCAAGGAGAAGCAGGAGTACCAGGATGCTATCATTGAGGATCTTGCCCTCATGGGCATCAAGCCCGACACGGTCACCTACACTTCCGACTACTTCGACTACCTCTACGACATGTGCGTGCGCATGATCAAGGAGGGCCACGCCTACGCCGATGATACCGACCAGGAGACCATGCGCGACGAGCGCTGGAAGGGTATCGCCTCTGCCCGCCGCGACCGCTCGATCGAGGAGAACTTGCGCATCTTCACCGAGGAGATGAAGAACGGTACCGAGGAGGGTCTGAAGAACTGCATCCGCGCCAAGCTTTCCGTCGACAACCCGAACAAGGCTCTCCGCGACCCCGTCATCTACCGCTGCAACATCGAGACCCCCCACCACCGTACCGGCACCAAGTGGAAGATGTACCCCATGTACGATTTCGCCTGCCCCGTCGTCGACAGCCACGAGGGCGTCACCCACGCTCTCCGCTCCACCGAGTACACGGACCGCAACCCCCAGTACCAGTGGTTCATTGATACCCTCAAGCTCCGCCAGGTCTACATGTGGGATTTCGCCCGCATGAACTTCATCCGCACCTTCCTTTCCAAGCGCAAGCTCGCCAAGCTTGTTGATACCGGCAAGGTCTGGGGCTGGGACGACCCTCGCATGCCCACCATCCGTGGTGTGCGCAGGCGCGGTATGGGCATCCCTGCCCTCCGCGACTTCATCCTCAAGCAGGGCCCTTCTCGCAACGTCGTCACCATGGACTGGACCAACTTCTGGGCTAGCAACAAGAAGGAGATCGACCCCATCGCTCCCCGCCACACCGCCATCGCCAAGAAGGACGCCGTCAAGGTCATCGTCAAGGGCGCCGATGCCCCCGCCGAGCCCGTCAAGCAGGAGAAGCCCAAGCACCCCAAGAACAAGGAGGTCGGCACCAAGCAGGTCACTTTCGCCAACGAGCTTATCATGGACCAGGCCGACGCCAAGTCCTTCAAGGACGGCGAGGAGATCACCATCATGGGTTGGGGCAACGGCTTTGTCCGCAACATCGACTCCTCTGCCGAGGTCATCCCCACCTTTGAGATCGACCTCAACCTCGCCGGCGACGTCAAGTCCACCGAGAAGAAGGTCACCTGGCTCGCGTCCAAGGGCCAGACCCTGGTCCCCGCCGAGCTCTGGGACTTTGACTACCTCATCACCAAGGACGTTCTCCAGGAGGAGGATAACATGGAGGACTTCCTCAACCCCGTCACCGAGACCATGGAGGAGGCCTGGTGCGACGAGGCCTCGGCTACTCTCAAGAAGGACGATATCATCCAGCTCGAGAGACGCGGTTACTACCGGGTCGATAAGGGTCTCAATGACTGGAAGGAGGGCGAGGAGAAGAAGCTCGTGCTGTTCTGCATTCCTACTGGCAAGACTGGTTCCAAGTAAGTGTGTTGCAACTGAAGCATCATGTAAGCGGGGAAAAGTTATGTTGGGAAAAGTTTGTTGATAGAATGATGGTCGATGAATGTAATGAAAACATTTGAATGGTCATATTGTTGTAACGATGCGTTGTGATTCTGTCTGGTAAAGTTGAAAGGTCACGATGGCCTCGCCGTGTCTGGGGAATGATAGGGTTAGGGTTTGAACCTGTTGTCCTAGGAGGCTAGCGCAAAGCGCATCGATTGCCCAAGGTCTTGCGTTGCCCACCACTGCTCTACTTACCCGGCACTTTTGCACAAGCTGGTCACTCGCCCCAAGTACCTTTTTGCTCCAAGATCAAGCCATGTCACTCCTACTCGGAGTTCACATAAAGCATGCGAAACCAATTGTCAACAGAACTGAAGACATGGAAACAGCCGTTTACAATTTGCTGTCGCATCAATGGCGCAGAGTTACAAGAGTCAAACCGTGCCGCTTTTGAACCTGAGAAGTGGAAGGGACGGGAGCTTCCGCCTGCGCTCTTGTGGCGCTGACACCTTTCCGGCCTGGCATTCGTGACTTGTGTCACCTAGTAAAGGGATGGAATTTCACAGGAAGGGTAAGGAACGGAAAAGTAAGGAAAGGTAAGGGAAAAGATATGATGATTTCCGCCAAGCTTTCCGCACGTGAGGGTGTAAGTGCTCAGAGATGTGCAGACATCGGCCAAACAGCTCCAGGTTTTTTGGCTCCTTAGTTCAAACGATTTCAAAGATTCGTCTCCCAAATAGCTCGTTAAACATTATTGCATCTCTTCATCTTAAGTAGCCGATAAGGTCGATAAAGTTGACTACTTCGAGTGAGGGCAGTTTGGTGGTGAGGTGCACGGGCCGTATTTTTCGGTTTGGAATTTCGATATTTTCTGAATTTGGATAATTTCGGGAATTTTGTTATTTTTTCAGAAAATGACCATCACTAGTGTCACCGCCATCCCATGATCTTGACACTCGCTCCGACAAGCCACCATCGATAATAACCTGTCCGGACCGGAGAACAAATCCACTTGCTAAAACCGTGTTCAAAAAACCCGTCGGCCTTGTCATCAAACAATCGAACAATCGAACAATCCAGAATCAAATCAGATTGCCGACAGCCGATCCCATCAAATGGATTAATGGTGATGTGAAGCGCTGGGCGTCTGGGCGGCGCTGGGCGGCGCAAGCGAAGCAAGCACATGTCAGACAAATGTAACGGTCGACAGGCTTTGTGTAATGGAAGACAAGAGAGATCCCAGACGGACAAGAACAGACGAGACAATGCCGAGAGAAAAGGTCAGCTTGGTTCGAGTGGCTCATCTCATCATCCACCACCTGCATTGCTAAAGTTCAATCAAAAGCGGAAAAGGTCCACTCCTGCAGTGTCGCTCTCCCCACCCCTGACAGCGATCGACGTCAGGCTTGGCTCGGATCGGTATGGGGGACGTGCTCCCGCTGAAAGCGACCGAAAGCTTGTCTTATACGTCATTCGCTGTCGGTTCGTTCACCTCCTCTTGGCATTGCTTTTTCATTGCTTGTCGCACCAATCTTGCGAGTGAACGAGCTGGAGCTAGGTTGTGCCAAGTCGAGAAAGGGCAATGTCTCAAACGACCTGATTTGACTTTGCTCATTTCGCCCAAGGTCCTCCAGCCATCCCCATTGTCCTACCTTCCTCGGGAACGGTTGTTGTGTCAAATTTCCTTCTTTCTCTTTTTTCTTCTCTCTTTCCCATCTTTTCGTTGCTAGGAACTAATCGTTAATTCGAGATCTTTCCATTCCGCATTCCGCCTTCCATACTTTTAGTGGAGGTGTTCTGGACTGGAATCGGCCGTTGCGGTCTGTTTACACGCGACTCGAACTGGAGCTTCTTCCGTTCCCGAAAATATAGGCTTAAAAGACGGGAGCTCCACCATCACGAGGAGCTTCACCTTTCCCCAGGACCCTGATTTCCACATCAACAACAGACGACTCGCCGACTCGAGTACTCGACGACAAACCCGCGACGATGAGCGGGCCACAGTATGGCGCCCAGCCGGGTGGCTACTACAACAACAACTACCCTCCTCCTCCGCCCAACTCGTACCAGATGAACCCCATGCCGAACGATGGTAACTACGGTCAGCAACCGCAGCAGTATGGAAATGGTTATGGAAATGGGTCCGGGTATGCTCCGCCTCAGGGACCGCCGCCGAACGGGTACAAACCCCCGCCGACCGATGGTTACGGCGGCCCCCCGCCGTCGTACGATGAAGTGTTCAAGGTCCAGAAGCCCAAGTACAACGATTGGTGGGCCGGACTTTTGTTCCTGGCTACCGTTGCTGGGTTCGTCGCGGTGTCGGCTATTAGTCTTCATGGTTATGGTAGGACGATCTGAACCTCTGGAAAGGAATAAGTGAAGATGTTTACTGACTAACACACCACAGCCGACAACAGAAGTCAAAACAATGGCAGCCTCAACGGTCAACGCAACACCTTCGGTCTCACCACCCACACCATCTACCTCTTCGTCTGGGTCCTGATCTGCGCCATCGTCCTCAGCTACGCCTACATGTGGATGGCCCGCAAGTTCACCAAGCAATTCATCTACGCCACCGGCATCCTCAACATCGTCATGGGCCTGGTCACTGCTTTGTATATGTTATCTCGCAAGTACTATTCCGGTGGCATCGTCTTTTTAATATTCGTCGTCCTCCAAGCCCTCTTTTTCTGGTCCTGCCGGTCGCGCATCCCCTTTTCGACTTTGATGCTCCAAACCGCCATCGACGTCGCCAAAGTCCACGGGCACGTCTACCTCGTCTCCGCCGTCGGCGGCCTCATCGGAACCTTATTCGCCGCCTACTGGGCCATCACCCTCGTAGCCGTGTACGTCAAGTTCGAGCCGGACCCGAACAACGCCGCCTGCCGCACCGCCGGCGGGTGTTCCTCGGGCAAAGTCATCGGCCTGATCGTCTTCATCACCTTCGCCGGCTACTGGATCTCCGAATGGCTGAAGAACACCATCCACACCACCGTCGCGGGCATTTATGGGTCGTGGTACTTCAACAGCCGCAACTACCCCACCAAGGTAACCCGCGGCGCGCTCAAGCGCTCGCTCACTTACTCGTTCGGCTCTATTTCGCTGGGTTCCCTCTTCATCGCCATCATCAACCTCATCCGCCAACTCGCCCAGGCTGCTCAACAAAACGCCGCGCAGGAGGGCGACATCCTCGGAACCATCCTCTGGTGCATCTTCGGCTGTCTGATCGGCATCTTGGACTGGCTCGTCGAGTTCATCAACCGCTACGCCTTCTGCCACATTGCGCTGTACGGAAAAGCTTACTTCGCCGCGGCGAAAGATACCTGGAAGATGGTCAAAGAGCGGGGGATCGACGCTCTCATCAACGAGTGTCTTATCGGCCCTGTGCTAACCTTTGGCGCTACTTTTGTCGCTTATGCCTGTGGCTTGATTGCGTATTTGTACATGGTTTACACAAAGCCGGCGTATAATGATGGAGGAGGATACACGCCGGTGGTGGTGGCGTTTGCGTTCTTGATTGGACTGCAGGTGTGTAATGTGTTTACGACGCCGCTTACCAGTGGCATTGACACGATTTTTGTGGCGACGGCGTGGGATCCCGAGGTGTTGATGAGGGATCATCCGGATTTGTATCACAGGATGGTGGCAGTTTATCCGCATGTTCAGGAGGCTATTCATGCTTGATTGGTTGGCCTCCTAGGAGGTGGATGGGAAATAATGGAGGAGGAGGAGGAGGAGGAGGAGGCAGGAAGAATGGTTGAGAGTTGAGTTGGTGGTTTCGCCTTGATAGAGGCTGCTCTGTCCCTGGTTAGGAAAAGGAAAGGAAAGCTATGGAGAAGAGTGGTTGGTTGACTTGCTTCCTTCTTCTCCGAGAAAGGAAAACCTATATGATAACCTGTAACTTGTAATTCTTTGAGGAGTTGGGCTGGGACGGGAGGGTTGATACCACTGCAGGCGGGCAGGAGGGTTGGGTGGGTGGGGGAGAAGAACTTGATGATACCAGAGAATAACAAGAGGAGAATGGAATGAGAGGAGTAGTATTAGTAATAGCAAAAACAAAGCTTAATACTTAACCTACATACGTCCAGTTTTGGTTGCTGGTTGCTGGTTGCTGCAAACTCTTGTGATACAGTGATGATTTTGGCTGTAACTGATGATTTTACCGTGATCATCGATCGGCGTGATCCCCATGTTGTCTGCTTTACAATTCACCAAGGAAAAAAAGAATGAGAGTGTTTCCAACATGTACTTAGCAGTCAGTAGTCGCATTGACACTTACTAACGATGGACTCACTCGTCCTTCAGACCCGGACCAACACTAAGGTATAAGTAAGAGCAGCAATCATGATCTCTCCCGTCCTTCTTGGTTACATATCCATCCCTCCTCTCACAGGCAGGAAAAGAAACCATGAAATGAAGACGAGGATTCAATTCAGTTCCAGGTTATATACAATGTGTCGGGCCCTCAATAACTTCTGACAGTAGAAGCTCCAATCATCAATCACCAACCCAGGGCAACCAGTTTATCATTCATTACCTGCATGTTTTTTGCTGAAAAGACGAGGATCATCCATTGAACTTTGAAGGAAAACCTTCAAGTAGTTTAGATTCTTGATGCTAAATAGCACGGATTAAGGACCTACCCACACACCCCCTTTTCCATACAGACACACGCACACATCACCACATAACAGCTGAGATTAAATGCCAGCGTTATAGACGGTAGAGGTGTGTTTGCCAGGCGGGTGATTGTAAGAATAAACCGAACACGCTTTTACACGCATCCCGCCTACCCAACTACAAGTCTGGACTTGGCCTACCTGCCTATCCCAAAAACCACGGCAGTTTTTGCTTCTTGTCTTTCCCAACTTGCATTCAAGCCGCCTTCACCTCGCTCATACTCGGGAACACCCTATACATCTCATTCAGCACGCTCTTCCACTGCATCTCCCCATCCAACTTGGTCTCCTGGCACTCCTTCCACGCGTCCCTCACCATCTGCGCCCTCTTCTCGCTTCTCGGAGTAATGTTCATCTTGAACGGCGCCGGCTGTACCATCAAACCACCGATCAGATCGAGTCTATCAGGCACGATCTCCTTTCCCGTCTGAGGATTGATGGCACGATCGAAGTTGAAGGCCCACATCAGTCTAGCGATGCCCAAGAACAGAAAGTCATCAGCCACATGCAGACCCTGGCAAATACGACGACCGGCGCCAAAGGTGTAGTGATCACGCTCGGCGACGTTAGGGTTCAGCGCAGCTTGGGAAGAAGTCTGCGTGTCGTGTATGAACCGGTCGGGGTTGAACGTGTGAGGGTCCTTGTATCGGTTTCCATCGGTGTTGATGCCCCTTTTTTTTTTACCCACCATTAGTTTTTTCTCCAAACTCGATTAACACTTCCCTCGCTCCGAATGATGACAGTAAAAAACTTACCAGATGTTAAGCACAACACTCGAGTCCTTCAGAATCTTATACCCCCTATACTCATCATCCCTAACAACCGCATGCGGCAACCCCAAAATCCCCGTCGGCATCCACCTCAGTGCCTCCTTCACGCACGCCCGCACATACTGCGCCCTCGGATCCTGTACGTCTTCAATCGTCAGCATCCTGCATGTGCTGCTGCTCCCCGGGCCATCGGTAGAGGTAAACTCATCCACGCATTCTTGCAACCTTTTGCCAACCTCCGGGTACATGACAACACCCATAATAAATGCCGCCAGCGTGCTAGACATGGTATCACTCCCCGCCTCGAGCCCAGCATTCCCAATGATAAACGCCGCTTCCTCGTCCGTGATGATACCAGTACCCTTACCCTGCCCCTGCCCCTGCTCCTGCTCTTCTTGTTGTTGGGCTTTCACCATGCTAACGGCAAAACAAGGCTGCTGCTGGCTATGGCTCATCTTTCCGTTGGAAAGAAGAACTTTTTGCTTGGCGGGCATCCACAACCCCCAAAAAAACTCGCTCGTTTTTTCTCCTACCGCAACCGCATGCTTGTAGATCGGCAACCATTGTTGAAACCACGGCCTCCTCAAAACGGGGTAAACATCCAACAACAAGGCCGCCGCTGATGCTTGCGCACCGCCGCTTAGGTCGGAAAAGTGTTGCAAGTTCTGATACATCTGCAACAGCCTAGGATCGCTAGGGTCCTGGATGCGGAACCCGTAGAAGATGGAGGTGGCGAGCGAGTGCGAGGTGCGCCGGAAGTGGTCGAACAGGTGGTGGCGGGATTGGTGGCCGCCGGCGGCCTCGGCCTCGGTGGTGGCAGAAGAGAGGGGAGCTTTGGCGTCGGCGTCGGCGTCGTCGAGGATGGCGGCGAGGAGGGACATGGTTTCTAGGTCTTGATAGGGCCGGAAGGAGAGGGAACTGGTCCTGTTGAGGATGGAGTGGAGGATTTTACGGGCGCGACGCCATTGGTCGCCATAGAACTTTTGTTTGCCTCTCTGTTAGCTTTGCTACTCGCGAGCGAGGCAATGGGGGGGACTAAGGAAAAAAGAGGAAAAAAAACCTACCATACCAGCCATCCTCAATCCCTTACTAGCTACCCGACTCAGGTACGCCTCAGGGCGCGACGAGTAGATGCCGCTGCGCTTGTCCAAGAGGTCCTTGACTATCTCGGCATCGGTCAGGACTATGGTGGTTTGTGTGCCGAGGATGAGCGTGTAGATGGGGCCATATTCGTCTGCCCATTTTTTGAATTGGAGGTAGGCTTTTTCCCTGGGCATTTGGAGGAGGTTGCCTAGGAGCCACTTCGTTGGTGGGCCGGGAGGAAGGTTTTTGGGGCGGGTTCCGATGTTTCGGACCTTGAAGAGACCCATGAGGAGGAGGGCGAAGCCCAAGAAAAGAAAAAGGGGGAGGGCCATGGTGACGGCCGGATGGGAAGAGAAGAGGATGGAATTTGGTGAGAAGAAGAAACTAGAGCGGTTCGACGTCAATTTGAGGGGAGGACGTCGAAGGGCAGGTATATATACTACTATCATGGGCTCAACTTGTCCCTGTCATGATCGAGTGACCCTCCGCTGGGGGAGGTAGCATCCTTCAAGTGGACTCAGTCTCTCATGGTTCCATTCCCAATCCGAATCATCACGTTCGTCTCCGAACTAAAACCAACCGCATAGCCGCGCCCATCACGGTGCCTGTGACGTAGGACTCGTAGGTAGGCAGGAAGTTGCTTGCTCGTTGCTCCTCCTCCTCTTCCGGTTCAATGTTACCCTGTCGGCTGCATGTAAGATTCAAAGCTACCCTGGGCTACTATCACACAAAAGACCGGAGTGACCAATCCCCGACGGGGGATATAGATGAGAAGTTTGGCCCGACACTTGAGCATTGGCGGATGAGGTTCGGCTAACGGTTAAAGTGCTGACTGCATCCTTCCATTGAGATCCTGACCGTGGTGGTGTTGGCGGCATTGGAAAGGCAGAGTTGCAGTCCTCTGTAAAGAGGATGAAGTGATTGTGTTATCGATAGCGGTTTGTGAGGGCCGGCAAGTCGTGACTGACCGTGACAGAGTCAACACCGATGATATTGATGTCAGCTCCTGTCACGCACTGGACCGATTCCAGCCCTATGGTCCGGCCGTTGAATCTGAAACCTTTCTTCTGTTCTAAATCCTGGGAATCCGGGATCCGTCACGCGGGAGTGTGAGGTTCGTGAAACGTGTAACCATCATTCCGTCCGGTCGGTAACACCATCCGCACAGCCAGCTTGCACGATGATCGAGTCGAGACCGGAACGATCCGGACTTGAGAATGAACGTAGTGTATTACCCTTTAGTTTTTGTATCACAAAAGAAATGCTGACCAACACCAGACCACCAGACCACCTTGTCCAAGAAGCCAGCCGAGCCGCCTCTAACAAACGCAAACCGGACTCCTTTCCCAACCAAGCCAGTAATAATGCATGTCACAGAAGAATCCTCCATTATCCACCCCTTCACTGCCATCCCCTCGCCATTATATATACTCGCTTTTCTCCGCTTTCCTTTCCCTTCCCTTGTTCCTTCCATTACCTCCTCGCGGCCGTGCTAGGACTAGCAATCCCCTCATCCCTCTCATTCTTCAACAAATTCCTCCTGCTGGCAACCTCATCATCCTCATCATCGCTCATAAGTCCCTCGAGCTCGAACTCGCCAGCATCGCGCAGCTGGGTCTCGGGGTTTGTGGGCCGTCCGTTCAACCGGATAGCGCCGTTGCCGTGCGTGGTCTTGTTGAGGCTGTCGGCGTTGGCAGTACGGTCGTAGAGGTGGATGAGAATGTTGACGAAGAGGAAGAGGATGAAGGCGAGGGAGTAAATGATGAGGACGTAGGCGACGTGGTCGATGCCGGAGCCGGCGACGAGGGCCATTTGCTCTTCGGTGGCGCTCATGAAGAGGAAGCCGGAGGCGTAGAGGAGCTGGTAAACATTAGTAACGCGTGAGCCAAAGGGGTCTGGGGAGGAAACTTACGAAAACAGGAACGTATTGGAAGCTGTGCGTCTCGTAGCCTTGGTCCGAAACAGCCGGCTTGTCCTTGAGAATGAAGGAAATCTCAATGATACGAGTAAGACCGGCGCCCATGAGACTGTAACCAAACATCTTGTGGGTCATGGCGCTGATCATGAGCTCCTGGGGATGGGCAGACATAGCCCAGCCAGTAATCAGCAGAACAAAACCGGGAATAAAGTTGCGCTTGGGAGTGCCGTCTCTGTTCCTGCTGAGCCAGACACCAGCGAGACCAGCAGCCCACCAGATAACGCCCATGGTGGTGTGCTGCCAATCGTTGCGAACCCAGGCAGTTCCCCAGCGGTGCTCGGTGAAAGTGTTGACGCAGCCCCAGGCGGCAATGACAGCGCTGTCGAAGAACTCCTGGCTACGGCCGGTGCGGCGCAACCACAGCTGACCGACCAGGAGGACGATGGTCAAGAGGACACCGTAGGCGATGAAGGCGCTGCCCATGATGAAGTGGGCCAAGCACTGACCGGTATGTTCACCCTGGCAGAAGCCGAGAGCAGTGATGCCGCCGAACACCATCTGCACCCACGAGGCGAGAGGGAAGGCCTTGCCGTTGATGCTGTGGAGGATTCGGAGGAAGGGGCGGATGCGGCCTTGGAAGCCCTTCTCGAGGTGTAGCTTGAGGTAGACGCCCAGGACGACCTGGCCGATCATCATGAGGAACAGAATGTTGGCGAAGCTAGCGTGGACATTGTTGGAGATGAACTGTCTGCCCTTGTGCAAGTGGCCGAGTGCGTATCCGAGGAAGGCGAGTGCGGTCGCGAGGACTTGGAGAGGGACGTGCCAGCGGCTCTTGATCATCTGTTCGGTCCATGTTAGCATTCTTCTGGAGCCGTGCCTGCGTTCCCGGAATGCTTACCCCCAATACCATGCCCGTGGGGAACAGGATGCCAAAGACAAAGGTCTGAAGAAAGATGTGAAGCCATAGTGTCGTATCGAGAGGTTCGACCGAGATGGTGGCCCCCTCGGGGATCTGATCTTCGTGGTGGTCGTGACCGGACGCCATCGGGATAAATGCAGCGGCCAGAACTGCTGTAGCTGCCGTTGCTGTGATGGAGGAGGACACTCGAGGTATAAGACTGCGCGTGGCACCGCCGCGACGGGCGGCCGGGTTGTTGAGAGTCATGGTGGGTTTCAGATCGATGAAACACTGTACCCTGCGCAGAGTGGCGTAATGGTCGCAAATCGTTCGTCAATGGAGGGGTTGTCGAGATGGGACGACACAGTCCGTGTTTCGTACTCGACGAGGATGGGACGACGGGACGTAGCGGAGACCTTGTCGGATACGGTACGTGGTATCTAATGCGACAAGTCGACAGCACAAGCTAATGTGCTGTTATCCGCGATGGTTGCGGGGAGTTACAGCGGGGAGTTACACGATTGCGACACGGGCAGAATCGACAACCGGTGGTGGAGGAAAAGGGATGAAGAATGAATGGGAAACGAAAAAAAAAGATTGAATTTCAATTAAATTGGCGGAGACCTGGGAACCTTCACGGCGGGCGCGGTGATGTCGGAAGCTCCAGCGAACCCGCTCAGCCCGCCCGCCAATTCAGTCCCGCCTTGGCTGCCATGTCCGGATGGATTGCATGATGGCCTTCCCGGCTCATTCTGATTGGGTCCAGAGCATCAACTGTTACTGTGGTGGCTGTACCGCTGTAGTTTGCACTAACAATTGCATTCAGGCAGTGCTGTCCCTGCCGCGTAAGCAGGCCTCATTTCCTGGCCATACAGTAAAGAACCCTGAAAGTGCAACTAATCCGGGCTGCCAAAATTTTTTGCACTTTCTGGGTATTTGCACTTGGGGGATCTGGTGCACAGACCATAGAGCCCCCTCCGGCCACTGGAAGGCGCCCAGTCGCCGGAAAAGTGGGACCTCAGAACCTCGGTAGCCGGGTATAAGTCTCCTCTCCCACCAAAATCAGACCCCTGTAGGTGCAAATCCGGGCTAAAGTCTTTGCACTTTGCAGTTTGCAGGTTCTGTATGAGAAAACAATTCCGGTCGCCAAATTCTTTTGCACTTTGGGGGGTTTTTGCACTTGGGGGTGGTTGCACTTTCAGGGATCTTTACTGTAGCACCTGCCGGGCTTCCGATGTTTATGGAACACCCCGGTTCCCGTAGTCGTACAACAAACCCCACATGCCCGATAAGGTTGGAAGCGTCATATGTGATTGGCCGGAAGCAAGCCATGGGTGTTCCTAATTCTAGACCTTAACAATTTCTCTTGTTTCTGTCATATATCTTTGGCGGGTCTCAACTCTTCTCATTCTCTTCTTCTCAAGACAAAACATTATGTATAATCGGAGCGGTACAAATTCGACATTAAACCAGCCAACCCAAGGCAAAACCAAGCCTTAAATCAAGGCCAACTCCCCAACTCCTTTTCCGGACCATACATGCATGACTGACTCCCATAATACTTTCGTTTGTTTCACAAGGCAGACAAACTCCTCGTCAACTCTCCCATTCCCACCTCATTAGCACCGCTCATCTCCAGTATACTCCTTCCACTTCTCCTGCTCATCCTGCTCATCCTGCTCATCCTGCTCCTATGACTCCTCACAGTCCTCTGAGACTTCTGCGTCCTCTCCCTCTTAAGCGCAGCTCCAGTTCCCTTCTCCAGATCCTCCCCATTGCCTCCCTCCTCGACGTCCTCCTCCTCATCCGACTCCGCCCCGAGGTCTTCCGCCGTCAGACCACCCAATCGAGAGCAAGGACTCCTAGCCCTGATTGCATCTGCATAGATGATGAAGGCGAAAGGCACCAGGCACATCACGGCACTGATGATAGCCAGCACGGTGATAGCCCATGCGACGCCCAAGGCGGCCAGCATGTTATCGATTGCCAGCGGGATAAGAGCGCCGGCGATGGAGCGCGTCGTGCCGCAAGCTGCGAGGGCCGAGGCGGCGAAGTTGAGGGGGGAGTAGGCGTCTGTCACGTACTATTTCGTTGTCTGTTAGCACCTTTGAAACTTACACACCCAAGGAAGAAGATGAGAAAAACGTACGTTGATCATGGCAGTAAAGATCATATGATAAGCAAATCCATACGGCACCGTGGCGATCAGCGGAACCGCCCAATGGATACTTGCCCTGCTGGTCCAGCCCAGCCAGAGCAGACTGATCACAAATATCGGACCACCGACGCAAGCAACGGGCAGACGCAGGTATTCGGATTTGCGATCGGCAGGAAAGCGGGCCGCGAACTTGGGACCATATGAGTCGTACCAAATGATGACGAAGCAGGCAATGATGGTACCCAAGCCCATGGTCATAAAGGCCACGCCAGCGATGCCGGGGGAGAAGTGGTAGGTGCCACTCCAGATGGCGCCGCCGATCTTGAGCATCATGTAAAAGACGGCATAGACGAAAGCGAGGTAAAGGCATGTCAAGCCGAGGAGGAGTTCGTTGCAGAGCAACAAGATGGGTCGGGAGAGCGTGATACTCTGTTGACTGTTGTCAGTTCACTCCTCTGCAGTCAAATCACCAGGGGTACGGCATATAACTCACAAGCTGCCTCCAAACACCCATCTTCTCCCCATCGGCGTTACCCAGGCCAGTAACCGGGGCGATATACCTCACCTCCTTCGCCTTGCCTTCAGCTTCCATCTGCTTATTCAGCTTCTCGGCCCTAATCTTCAGCAGTTTAGGATGGAACGTCTCCGGCATCGAGGCCACCGCGCAAAACGAGACTCCAGCGAGCATCAACGCGAACCTGTTTTTCCATCGTTAGCAAATCTTCTCCCACACATCATCTATGGGACTCCCCTCTCTGTCGCGCGCTCTGTCCGGTAAAAGAAGAAGAACTTACCAAAAAACCCATCTCCACCCCTTACTCCTCCCCAAAAACCCGCCCAAAATCGGCGCCCCCAACGGCCCCAAAAACGAACTAGCACTCCAAATCATCATCATCCTTCCCCGCATAATCTTATCCCCAAACAGATCCGACACCACGCCTCCGCCCACACTGATAGGCGGCGCGCCCGCCGTGCCCGCAATCAGCCTCATCACCAGGAACAGCGCCCAGGAGTTACTCAGTGCACATCCCAATGTGGCCAGGACGAAGATACTGAAGCCCGTCACCAAAACGGGACGACGGCCGTAGGTTTCCGACAAAGGAGCGCAGATGAGGGGACCGAAGACAAAGCCGATTAGGTAGACCGAGGTGGGGAGGATGGTTTGTGGACCGGGCGAGGGGAAGTCGAAGACTTTGGAGAGGAGCGGGGAGAGGTTGGAGCAGAGGGCGGAGCCGAAGCCCGAGTTGGTGGAGGCTAGGGTTGTGGCGACGATGATGAGGAACTTCTTGGTCTGTTTTTGCTCTTCTGTCAGTTGTTTGCTTGTTATGGAGGACCTCCCTTCCGGAGGAGAGTGAGGCGGAAAGACATACCGACGACCAATTATGAGGATTCTCAGGATCATTGGGAGCAAAAGCGACGACGAGTGTCGTGGGTTCGCCGGCAGGTTGTTCTTCGGCCACTGTGTCGAGAGCTGTTTGGCTGCTGTTGGCCGAGACTGGTGTTATTGTTTCCAAGGGGGTCTTCTTCTCGAGTGGTGATGGTGTCGATGTTGTTGGGCTGGGATCGCTCATAACGATCTCGTCGGTGGTACCCTTCTCCATGATGTTCATGGAGGGTAGCTAACGGGTTCGAAAGGACCCGTAGCTTTTGAGAGTGAAGGTATGTCGAGGGCCGGCGGTGTGGCTGAGAAAGAATATTCGAAGAGATATCGAAAAGGTCTCAGAGGGGTATCGTCAAGTCGCGTCGTCAAAGAAAGAAAGTCATGAACGTCACAGGCATCAAACACGGAGTCACACCACACAGAAAGAAAAGGTCACACCCGTGAAGGAGACCAAAGAAGGAAAAGAGAGACGAAACACCCGATGAAGCCTGGAGAACAAGCTCTCAAGAGAAGTTTGTGGTGTACGACATGGCGCTACCATCCGCCTTTTATATGACCCGTGACGTCGACGACTTACACGATACCAACCACCCAAAAAGGGGAACGCATGAATAAAGTCTGCAGACCTCTAGCTAGGTAGCTAGGCTAGCTACCACTCACCGCAACCGGGCGTGGCGGGAGTCATCGAATCGAGACAAGGTTCACTAACAAGATTTTCAGGCACCGCTACTACACAAAAGTTGTGTGTGACAACCCCAAGGAGGCTAGTGCAAGGTACCTCAACCCAGACCGTGGGGAGTCTAGACGGGAGATGCGAGGCGAGGAAGACCACCAACTGCGGGCGGAACTGCAAGGGAAGATTCCAAGCAAAAGAAAAATTTGGGAATTTGGAAAGAAAGAAAAATTTGCGGTTGGGCACAAATGCCCATCGTGCGGAATCCGTGCACACATACGGTAGAATCCGTACGCACATACGGTAAACCCACTTTTTGCTTAATCAACCGCCCAGCCCAGCCCAGCCGCCCAGCCCAGCCGCCCAGCTGTGCAACTGAGGCTACATAATCAATACCCGCGCATCACCAGATCTACGTCTTTTATGTATTCTTTTTAATACAAGGGTATTCAAAGTCATTAATCTAATCAATTATCTACTACTAAGGAGGTTAATACTACATTTACTAATAATACTACTATCCTCCATATTAGCTCTATTATAATTACGTATATTATTTAGAATACACGTACCCACCCTAATTTTAATACCCACCATATAAGTACTAAAGAAGCAGCTAGAAATTTACCCTCTTACTTAAATTTCCTAACGCCTATCCTCTGCCCAGTACAAGCATTAGAAGTAGTGCTATAACTATAAGAGTCTAATTATATTATATTACTAGTACAACGTAGCCTTATAAACTATATTACAACTAATTAAAGAGAAGAAGAACGAAATTTAAGTCTCTAGGAAGTGCCCAAATAATAATAGAATTAATTGGCCTAGTACAATAATTTATAGTACGAACTATAAAAATCTCCTTTACTTCCAACCGTACAAGTATATAACCCCCTAATTTAACTATACTTAATACCCAATCCCTATAACTAATTCTAATAACTACCCAAATTAAGAATAGGAAATTTTAATAGCCGCTTAGCAGACGTTAACACTCTATAACCAAACTAGTTAGAATTAGTAGGCCAAATTAGCGGCTATTACTAAATTTAAGAATAGGGAAATAAGGAGGGCGCCAACCGTTAAAAGGGAGCTAGAGGGTAAAAAGGCAAGGGCAAGGGAACTAGAATTACTTACAAAGGTATTAAAGAAAGCACTAATATAAATCGAACTATAGCCTCTGTAATAGCGTTATTCAAATCCTCCCGCGTAATCTAACTCGCTTAAATCCCTCCTCCTTTAACGCAAAACTATCTCTAGCGAGCTAGCACCCTCCCTCCTTTAACTTCTCATTATATTACTCAACGGAGAGGCTTATCATAAGAAAGTATACGACAATTATTATACTAATTACAATCAATAAGCGCGGTAGTAGTAGGCTAGGTAAATAAACCTTAATTACCTTCGAAATTTCGTAATTCGTAAACTTCTGGGTTTATACAATCCTATCCCGAAACTCTACGTATATAATTTATAAGGTTTAAGTCAGGGATAGCTACTTATCGTCGGCGGCTAAATAAAGCAATAAGGTCTTAGATCGCGTAGGTACACTATTCAACTTCGGTCAGCCCTATACTACCGTCTAACCTTAACTACCAACATATATTTATATCTTCCATAGCCAGTACTAACGGGAGATCTATTTATAAGAGCTGCAATATAAAGTACTTGCAAGGTAAGCTATATTGAACTATAAGTACCTTCTTATAATTAACATTTAAGTCTTAACGTAAATCTCTAAGCCAATCGTTATAAATATAGCGGTATTAATACTATATCAATTTAAAGGTATACGGTACCACATATTAAAAGGAGGTTAATTAGTTGAGAAGGCAATTATATTTATAAACGTAATATTATATACTTTTATTAATAGATTATCGAACATCCCTACCCTTTTATACTTATAAACATACATTTGCCAGACTATTATAAATCGAAATTTAAACTATTACTTTTAAAAGCGGCACGCAAATTATATATATTAATACAACTAGTCGAAAAAGGAGAAACGGTTCTTAAGAAAGCGCTTAATAATTTCATATACAAATTCAATTCTATTAATTACTTTAATACTATAGTTCTTAAACTTACATACTACGTAATTACCAAACTCATTAATCCATAGTAACTAATATTTATATAAATAAGTTAGAAGGATTATAATAAAGGGTTATTAATTAAAAGTAAAGAAAAAGATAAGCGAAAAAGGTATATAATATATTATAGAGACTTACAGGTTTACTGCTTAAATTCGTAATATAGTAATAGCCATACCCTCTTAAAGCAATCATCATTATTAACGTAAACCACTTGCTTCTAAGCAGCTTAAAAGCCTTCGTATATATTTAAATAAAATCGACGAACTAGATTAAACGCTAATACATTACGACTACGTAGAGCAACCTATTCAAAACCAGGACCAAGCGGTTTAATTACTTTACAAACTCCTTACCTATCGTTAAATTATTAAATAAATAGTTAGCAGCGGTGGTATTATTAACCTCTTTTAGGTCATCTTCCTCTAGATTATCGTTAATGTGATCATCGTTATTATTACTAACCTCATTAGCAACGGGGGCAATATAAAATAGAGGATCAAGGCTATTACTATCTAAATTCTGGGTAATTAGCGGGAAATTTAATATATTAGCGGCCGGAGTTAACTTAATACCAGCTAACTAACCCTACTTCTTCTTAATATAGTAATTCACATTCTTTATAACGTACTATATATATAATTAATATAGCACCTCTAAGTAAATAATAATAGCAACTTTCTTAAACCATCTACTAAAATCGGTAATAAGCACTACAGGGCTAAGAATATCGTAATCCTCTTAAAGCTTCTTCAAATAGTTAAATTGCTATTTGAAATCTTCTTACCTTTTACCATTCGAAAAATTAAAAGCTATATTAAAATTATAACCTAGGGTATTAATACTAATAACGTTAAGGAGAGGAAAGTTGAAGCAATTAATTTACAAAGAAAAAAAGGGGTTAATTAATTAAACCCTATAAAAATAATTAACTTAATAAGGGTAATAATATGTTATATATGTTATTGACTAATAAAATATAGGGGTTCTTCTTCCATATTTCTATATACTAATCGAAAATCTAAAACATACGGTTAACCCTTTACTCGTTAAGAAATAAAAGATTATAGTTAACGAAATATTTAATACAGAGTACTTTATTCTATTCTAAAAGGTCGATAAGTATTTTAATCGAAGTATAAAAACTATACTTTACCCGTCGGATACACTATTAAACGTTCTAAACCTCTTAGGCAATAATAAATACTTGAAGACTACACAACTCTACTACTAGACGGTTATTTATAATTTTGAGAGGAATTACAACGTTTTTATCCTCGAAGGTACTACTCAAATAATAAGCAATCTAGCGTACGCTTATTCTAATAAGGCTAAACAACCTCTCAATAATAGTATTAATAATATCCTTATAATTATAACGGATCTATTGCCGGTAGATAATATTACCTTCGAAATTATCGACATTAAACTTATAATTATAATTATTATTAATCTCCTCCCCAAACTACATATTACCCTACCTCTTACGTAGTACAATCTTTACTTAGTATAGGTACCTAAGCCACCTCGAAGTAATATTACATATACTATAGCCGTTAGCTCTATATACGCCGCTATATATACACTTATAATTAATACATACGACGAAATCCTCCTCCCTTCTTTTCGTACTCTTTGAATTCGAAATTAATATAACCATAAATCTTTAACTAACTACGTAGCCTTATAGAATATTAAACGCAACCTCTTATATATTAAAGGAAGCTGATACAAATAGCAGGCGAAGTATTAGAAATTCCCCGGCGGTAGATAGCAATAGCGACCATTATTATATTAGCGACTACTATTTAATAATATATTCGTTAGGGGAAGGGGATTGTAGTGACTATATTCTTTCGTAGGGGTAGCGGCGGATTAATAACAATAGAAATCTAATAAGAGGAAGCGTACCCCGGTTAGAAATAATTAGTCGAAGCAAAATTAAAGGTATTTTACTAGTAATTCTATTCAAATCCTATTAACGCTAGTTATTTTAGTTAGCTAGGCTCCTAACTTACTTAGGCGGGCGGGCGGGCGGGCGAAGTATATTAATAAATACTATGCGAATACTACGAAGTCGAGGATACTCCACAAAATAATAACAAAGACAATAAATAATTATTGCAAACGGTTACTCAATACTAAAGTAAAGTCTCGTGATAGCTTCATTTAATTAGATACAAAACTAACGATCACTAACAGACTACGCAACGGTAGCGACGGTTGGGCAGCGATGTGCACAGTGTGCTGGGCTGGGCTAGGCTGGGCGGTTGACTAAGCAAAAAGTGGGTTTACCGTATGTGCGTACGGATTCTACCGTATGTGTGCACGGATTCCGCCCATCGTGTTGGTCCTTTTCTTGCCCTGGATGGGGAAATTTTGTGCCATGACTCCAGGAGCAACTAGCACCCTCTAGACCGCAGACGGTTACGAGCGGCCCGAACCCATGTCCTACTTGTAGGCTAGACCTGGACCTGGTCTCCCCCAATGATTCCGACTCCGGCGGGAACATGTATGAAGTTTCATTCCTCATTTGATGGTCAACTGGCCAAGTCAGTAGGGTGTTACAGCGAGCAGACAGGATGACCACGACAACAAAGATCACCGCTTCGCTTGAAGTATGATAGGAAAGAGCGGAAGGAATAAGGACTGATCAGGTGGATGGTGTTCGAGGCCCAAGGGAAGGAGTCGGTTGATATCTCACCGACAAAAAGTGTTATGTGGTATGAGTGGGACGTTGTTCCCATGTTCACCGTCACCTCCGCTTAGATAACTCGCACGCCAGACACTCGGTGTTTTCTACTCCGAGAATAGCATCACCAAGCAACTTCAAAACACCGGAGGAAACGCATAAAGATTAAAGAGAAAGGAAGTGACCAATTCATGCCCAAAACTGTCCTCCAGCATTGATCGGCGGCGAATGATTACGTACCTGGATATCACAGCCAAAACCGCGACAACGTTGTCCAAACGAACTCATTGCTTGGCTCGCAAAATACCAAAAGACAAGAGGCCATATGGCAGCGGTAGCGGTGAATCACAGTGGACCACTGAAAGATTTCGTAAACCTTCGCGCTAGAGGCCTAAAAGTGGCCCTGACCCCCCCCTAGACCACCGTCTAGACCTTTTCTCAGAGAACCGGATAAGTTTGAATTTGAGTCGGGATACACACCGATTGGGCAAAGGAAGAAAAGGAAAAAAGAGATTGGTCATCTGCCCTTTCGAAAAAAAGCACTTCGGTCCACATTCTCCCGGGGCCAAAAGAACACTCGGGATCTGGCCCTTTGCCGGAAATCGGAGCCAGATTGAGATGGCATTGGTGACCCAATGACGGTGTGCAAACCATGGTGATTGTCGGTCCCTTGACCGTGGGGTTGAGGTTGAAGGTGAGATTATTTATTGACCGCGATGTTGTCGGGGAAAGAACATCGGTTGGCGTAACCCTCCGTTTTTCGGCGAAAGACGGTCCACGGATCCATATAGGGCTGGCAGGCCAGGGATCTGGGTTAGGTGAGGACGGGAGAGGTGCTTGGATAGGGTGAATGCAAGGCAAAAAGAACTTGAAGGGGATACATAGGTACCCAAAGAGGTAGAAGTGCTTGATTCTGATGAGGAGAAGAGAAGAATGCGCCAAAGGCCTGGGGGGGCCTGGGTTTATACAGTATTATACACGTCCCGTCGTGGCCAGCCGGGCTCCCAACCAGCCATCGGCTTATCCTTTGGGAATGCCCTCAGCTCCTTCCTTAGCAGTCTTGAGCTCCTTCTGCTTGCACGAGGTGTGCCTTCTTGTTATACAGACTGTTGCCTTCCTTTCATGTGGGGTAGAAAGCAGATGTGGGGTGCAGGCCTGGCACTGTGTCAATGCCAGAGGCATAAGCAAGGCGAGGCAAAAGCAAGAAGTGCGTGCAAATGTGTGGTGTATTCTGTAGAATCTAATGTAATGCAAGGGTGCGCCAGGTATCGGCTACATATAGCCTACAGGATACAGGGTGCGCCTGCCGCAAGCTCTAACACACTGTATAGTAGGCTGCAGCCGGGAAATCGGAGGTACATATGCTATGCTTGGTGCAGGAGGACGTACCTTGGCGAATATCACCCAGATATCCTCCACAGAGTCAATCTCGTCCCCCAAAAACCCAGTATATCACAATCAGACCGCAAAGATAGAACTCATTACTTGTGACAATGCAACATGCATCAATCATCAATTGCAAAAGGGGGTATGAACGCAGATATGCAAAACCCATAAGCCAAACCAGCGCCTTTCTCCATCTCCCAGACACACCTATAACCATTATTTCCAACGCCAAACTCGTGAGGGGTAAGGATGGTTATGCCCAAACAGAGATATTCCAAAACACACAAAAAGGGGGTATATCCCAAAGGATAGAGTGAAGCGTCGTCTCATCAGTCATGATCCGTGAATACTCATCTGGCCAGCAACGTCCCTTGTCTAGCCAGTCTTGGTCAGAGGGAAAGGTCGCCTCAAGACCCCACGAGTAGAAGACTTGATGCAGCAAAGGCCGTCAAACTTCGAATCTCAGGATATCCACTGCGCCACCCTCCCCCACGTCCTAACCGCCGTAGTAGCCAACACGCCCGCAGCCCCCAACACAGAAAAAATCTGCAAAAACTCCAAAGGATGTCTCGCGCGCACCTCCGTCTCTAAGTGACCCTCATGGCCTCCCTCCTTGGTCGCCGGACTAGGCGGGAACCGGCCAGTGGTCAGGTACTGCTCCATCAGCGCATCCTTCTCGTACCAGCGCTCGCGCAGCCAGACGTCGAATTCCTCCTGGTTTTCGAGCGGGATGTCGGCTACCGCGAACCGGCGCCAGTAGAAGTTGACGGATTTGGGCGGCTGGCCGCGCAGGTAGGTGGAGGAGAGGGTGAAGAATTGATCGCCGTACATGCCGCGGCTGGGAATTGTTAGCTAGAGTAAGACAAATGAAACCTGGACTAACGTAGTACTTACGGAACGCCTTCGTAGGCGACGGTGCAGTCGTAAACATAGTCTACCGTGCCCTTCAACTCCTTCAGACAAAAGTAGATTCCCGTACTGCGCGGCAGGAGGACGTGCTCCGTGTCCTTGATACTAATTTTGTCCGCCCACTTCTTGGACTTGTTCCTTCCATTTTGCGTGCAGTTGGTTCCCTCGGGGAACAACAGAAGCCACATGGGGTTGAGATACTGTCTCCCGTTGTGCGTATGTTTGGTCTTTAGCTTCCCGAGTCTGTAGGCCAACCGTGGCTGATCGACAGACATTTTGCGCGACATGAAGATGAACCCGTAGAACATCATTCCTTGGCCCACGATGGGGAGGTACTTGAGCGACTCCTTGAGGATGATGTAGAGGTAGCCGTGCATGCGGGGCGCGTTGGCGTAGCCTACCCACCAGAGGTAGAGCCAGTCGGTGTATATCTGGTGGTTGGCGATCATGACCATGCGCTCGGGGAAGTTGAACTCGACGCGACCGTCGGGGGTCTTTTTGATCTGGCCGGCGACGGAGCCATCGCCGCTGATGCGAATGGTCGTGGGACCCCACCACTGCGTCATAGTCGTGATGATTAGGCCGAAGGACTGTTTCGTAACGGCCATGTAGGTGTAGTAGAGGCCGCGGTTGATCCAATACAGTGGTGCGCCGAGGAACTGGGTCGCGACGATGCTGTGTTATGTCTCTGTCAGTCAATATTCAACTATGGTAACTGATCATGGGGAGAATACCCAACAGAACATGCTGTGAAGAAGATAGCCAGCGAAACACCCCTAAGGATCTGGATCAACCGGTTATGCTTCTTCTTGCCGGAAGGATGCGCATTTTGGATCGTCTTTTGCGAACTATCATTTCGTTGTACAAGAAGTCCAGCTTCGTCTGGGTTTGGGTTTGCCGAGGCATCGCCAGATGCAATGTCCGGGTACGATGCCCTCTGGCGGAGGTCACCCATGATGGTGGTGACCGTGTGGTGGGGTCGAGTGTTCGGCAGTGATCCGAATGGAGAGTCGACGTCGAGATTCGGATAGTGATGATGCGCCGCGGTGTTGAAAGGCAGCAAGCAGGAACGACAGTGTTTGGGTGTCACGGAGCCGAGGGATCGGGATAGTAATAAATAGGTAATTAGACAAGAAGGAAAAGAGGGACGAGGCAGACACGAAGTGTCGAAACCCGATCCGCGCGTGCCGGGCGGGCGCTTGTTGGAGGCTGAGTCGCAGCCGTGGGACCAACGAATGATGATCGTGAAGCGCTTCGTTTGGCGGAGGCACCGAGGTGAAAGTGAAACAACAGTAAACAGACAAAGCAGAGGAAGAAACAAACACTGGACACTAGACGGTAACGGAGGAAGAAACAAATGTGTATATGGAAAATATAGACAAGACAAGGAAGCTATTTGGATCGGAAAAAAAGAGTCACAGACATCGATCTAGGAACGAGGCGTCATTGCAACATCGGATGTGGTATCGTATCAAACTTCCATCGGACTCGGAGGGTAAGAGATGCCCGCCCGAAAGTCCATGGTAGACTGGAGAGGAGCTTCAGCTGTCTGGGGGCGTGTTCCAGTTTACTCCCAGTTGATCCAGTCTGTTGATCCGTGTACAAAGCAAAATATGCAGCCTTTCACAGGGGGCCTCTTGTACCCTCTTGCCAAGACCTTGGCGCTACCACGCTCGAGCCACGGTCGGAACTTCTTGGCACTACTAGGGTCGGAACTTTGAACTCAACTTCGTCGAATTTTGAAGATATTCAGAAATGGAAAAAAGGGCTGCATTCGATAGCCACGGGTTCAAACTATCGGTGATTCAAACCGCGAAGAGGTGCAGCAAAAAATGGTAGAGATATTATCGATCAACGGCAAAAAAGCAGCTTTTTTCTGTTTTTTTGGATCAACAGGTTGGGGGCCGTCTAATTACCGCTTTGGGCGGTTACCAGGGCCTCATGCAGGCTGAAAAGCCACGTACAAGGGGGTGAATTAGCGTGGTACGTGCTAAGCTCCTGAACGTCTTCTTTGAGCCATATGCAGTGTGATCAACTGCATATTTACTGCATATCAACAACAGGGATCAATTTTGTATGGGAATCCGATCAACGGGGAGTAAACTGGAACACGCCCTGGGTCAGCCCAGCCATGGTCACTGTGTTAGTGTGGAGGGGTCAGCAAGAGGTCATGCGGACGATAAGCACGATAAGGAAAGCTGGGTGAGCTTGGACCAGAGCTTGATTCCCAAAGCGGCTTGGCCTTTATGACGGCATTGAGGTTTGGATGGACAGCCATTTGAGTGGGATCCCATTGGCCCGATAGCGGACATCTCTGCGCTGTTCGGCTTTTGGATGTTTGACGGCAATCGGTTGGAGACCAGAGTTGGAGAACCATCACTTTCACTTTATTCTTTTTCCATTGTTTCCACTTTCTGCCCAACACACAACACAACTGACAACTGCAATGGCTTCTTGAATTTCCAACGTGCCCACCACCGGCACTCGAATACTCTACCCAACACTAATACTGTCACCACCACCAAACAATGTCGCCATGTCGAGACCCTTATATCTGGTTCGAAATCGCCACGTCCATTCCATCGCTACCATGGTCCCTAAACCACCCAGGATGACCGTCTTCCGCTTTCCGGGAGGGGGGGTCCGGCACTTCTCGGTCTCTGCCGCCCGCAGACAGATCCTCGACATCGCCGCCCTGCCCGATCGCATAGTTCCGCATTACCAACAGACAAAGGCATCTTCCCTGCTGTCTCTCATCTGGCCCCAACCGCCGCGCAACGTCCTGCTCATGCCCAAACTGCATGCGCCCCACGTCATCGTTTCCGCCGCCGAGTTCGCCAAACACATCCACACCAACTACCCCGGCCTCAACATCGTCTTCGAAAGCCATGTCGCAAAGACCATTCACGAGCAGCTGCCCTTCCCTATCTACACGGCCGCCCCGGGCGAGGCCAGCAGCCTCTTCGCCAACAAGATCGACCTTGTCACCACAATGGGCGGCGACGGCACCATCCTCCGCGCTGCCAGCCTCTTCTCCATGCACTACCAGGTGCCACCCATTCTTTCGTTTAGCATGGGCACCATCGGCTTCCTCGGCGAGTGGAAGTTCCAGGAATACAAGCGCGCCTGGCGCGAGTGCTACATGAGCGGCTGCTCCGTGTCAGTCGAGGACCTTGTGGGGCCACACACCCAAGTCGCCGCCCGCCAGGCCGCCAAGGCCAACCTGACCGACCCCAACAAGGACGACCACACTTTGCAATCTCCCGCCTGGGACGCCGTCCGCGGCAATGGGCAATGCATGGGTCTCAGCCGCTCTTCCAAGATCCTCCTACGCCACCGCTTGCGCGTAGGCATATACGACGCCGAAGGGCGGAATATCAATGAACAGCTCATCCCGACTTCCACGGCTGAACCGGGGAGTCCGATTCCGGAAATCGACGAGGTCACTTACCCCAGCCCTATTTCTGCCCCAAGCACTGGCGGGATCACGAAAAAGGCCCCGGTACCCTACATCCACGCTATTAACGAGGTTTCCATCGACCGCGGTGTCCATCCCCACCTCGCTATAATCGACATCTACGTCAACAACCACTTCCTCACGGAGGCCGTGGCCGACGGCATCCTCATTTCGACTCCAACTGGATCCACCGCCTACTCGCTGTCAGCAGGCGGGAGCATAGTCCACCCATTAGTAAAAGCCCTGCTTATCACGCCCATCAGCCCGCGCTCTCTCTCTTTCCGGCCTTTGGTCTTGCCACTAAACACAAAAGTCGTCTTGAAACTAAGCAAGCGCAACAGGGGGCGGGAGTTACCAGTCAGCATAGATGGCAAGCGCCGGGTGGCGGTCAGTTACGGAATGGAAGTCCGTGTGGAAGGAGAAAAGCTCGAGAAGACGGTTGAACACGGCTGGCGGGGTGGAGTGCCGTGCGTGATTCGGTCGAGTTCCAAGGGCGATACGGACGGGATCGCGGAGGATGATGATAGTTGGGTTGGTGGGTTGAATGGGTTGTTGAAGTTTAATTATCCTTTTGGGGCAGGGGAGCCGGAGGGGCAGCATTGAACTGAGTTTGGTTGCTGAAAGAATAAAACGGAGGAAACAGTGTCGGAGGAATGTGTTATGTGCAAGAGAACCAAGAAGATACCACGGGGAAAGGGGAAAAGGTTTTATCCGATGGAATGAGGATAACGTGCGCGCGGGCTGGAGAAGGATGGACTGAAAAAGACGGAACGCCGGACGGCAAGAAAGCCGGTCCGGAAATCGGGAGGAAGAAAAAACAGATTTTACCCTTAACGTTGTAGCAAGCAAGCGATAGTTGAGCTTATGTTCAAAAGCATCAGAAGAACAAAATGCATTGATACCCCCCCCCCCCGATGAATGCTTCTCATTTTCATCCTTTATCGTGTATGGCCAGCTCATTCTTAGGTGTTAACCACCATGTCGGATGATATTTTCAAAGCTTATCTACCACTCAGCGTCCAAATCTCGGAAAATTGTAATTAGAAAATGATGGAGGTTTCTGTCTGTCCTATCTAGGTATCTATCCTTCTTTATCGAGCAGTGTCCGGACCAGACGGACCAGATGATCTTTTTCCAGTATGAAACTATGCATGAATGCCCATCCATAATGGAGAGAGGCACGTATGCAGGTGCATGAATTTTGAGTTGACTTGAGTTGAGTTGAGTTGAGTTGAGTTTTGTTGGATTAACAAGTCAATTCCGATCCGATCTGCGCGCAAGCAACCCGCCAACGTCGTCATGATTACTGAGATGAGTTCGATAAAGGGGGAAATATTAAGTCGCGGAATAATTGAAGGTTGATTTCGCGCCTGGAGCTCATGTGTCGAATACCCGTTGGGGAGGAATAACTGTTACCTGTAGACATACTTAATGCTTAATGCTTGATAACAGGAACACATCGATGGGAGATGCAATGCGGGTGGGTTATAGTATGGTACCTTACTTCCGTTCTTATCCATATGCACACATACATGCACACATACATGTTCATGTTCATGTGCATGTTCATGTACATGTAGACTCAGCTACACCAGAATCTGTTTTCCACCTTACCTACCTTAGTCAGTCGAAAATTAAAATTTAGAAAGTTGAGGTGTGAGCATACCATCCACCCATCAAATCAAGAGCCAGGCATAGAAATAGGCATGCATGCTCTTATATATTTCCTTCATACCTATCTTAGGTCCAAATACCAGCGGAGGTGATGTACTCAATATCACATCACACATTTTTTCCCCCAAAAACTTGGCCTGAATTCTAAAAGTCTAGTCTACTTCTATAAATAAGGTGAGTGCGATATATGAGTAGAGGTACACTACTATAACGTGTGCAAGATACATACCTCTATCTGCGATCTGCGATCGATACCTGCCTGCCTGCCTGCCTGCCTGCCTGCACCTGAGGACTAAGTCTACAAGGTTGACATCAGGCCACGCTCACCGACTCACCGAGTACCGACCGGACTCCAACTAATACCTACCTAGTTAAACGGAACGTACGAGCATCGTGCAAGATAAACCGGAAGCGAAGCGAAGCGCAAGATCACAACGAGGGTGTCAATTATTTAGGTAGTGAGATTACCATGCCGTAGTCTAGCGTCTCGTCAACTCCCGGCCAGAATTCAGCTGAGCCTTGAGGAACCTCCCTCCCTAGATCAACCACTTAACACATCTGTCGTACGGGTCTGAGGAATCAGTCAGGGGTTCTTCGGTTCTTCGGTTCTTGAGTTCTTGGTTTTACTTTTGACGACTGGCGCAAGCCTGAATGAACTGAACTGTGTTCATCAAACCTTTCTACAAATGGCCGCAGTTCGCCTGTATCTAGGTAGACGCGTTTCGTGGTTTTGATCAATTAAGGTACCTAGAGGTACTTACTCCCATTCCATCCATGATGTCATTCGTACGGTAGTTTTCTTTCTCAAAAAGTTTCTAGAGTCAGACTGTCAGAGAGAGCCCTGCGGCTCAGTTATGTGACTACCTACCCGGTCATGGATAAGCTTGATGAACCGAGTTCCACCCTTTCATGAACATACCCTGACAAGAGGTTTGTTCTGGACATATTTAGACCTCAACTACGCGGTTTTTATCTCCTCGTGCGTGGTGCCGACAATTTGAACGACGGATATGGAGCTCGGCTACGATCTACTGTATAGAAACCACGGATGGAATTCACTTGACGCTCGCGGCCTTCAAGAGCCCATGAATGACGACGATAGACGCCTTTTTACTCGATCTTACCCACCCGTTTCTGTCGTGACTCGTGACTCACGCGGGAAGAAGTTGAGACATCTAATTATAGTAGGCAGGCAGGGACCGAATGGCATGAACCGATACACCGGGTTACCCTGTCAACGTTCGAACATCACTCGGCCCGAGAGGCGCTATCGAGGTCCCGAGATACATAGCCTCAACTCGGTTACGCTTTCTCCGGAGCGACTAGGAGGACTTACGGGTGGGCGACCGACCGACCGGAGGAGCTACGACTACGAGAGAACGTGGGTGATTCCCAATGAGATCACAGACCTTTTCAAAGAGCGGAATGTATGCGTCGACCACTGCCAGCCCCATCTGTGTCTGTCTGCTCCTTCCTGGGATGGTGAATGTGTCAACTAACTATCTGACGTTTCCGAAGCTGTGCTTTACGACGAGTGAGGACTGAAAATAGCGAGGACTTGGTAATCCCGGATTGGAAAACAAGGAGTGTGAGTGGATCGCCAGGCCAGATGAGCGTATGAGCGAGCGTAGTAGCCTGTGGTCCGACAGTCCACAATCTATGATCTTTCAGGTCACAAGCGAAGACGAACGAACGAGGCAGCAAGCGAACCGAGTGCCCAAGTTTCCAGTCAAGTCAAACGTGCTGCCCAGAGGCAGACACTACGGTTGCTTGCCTGCCAAACCGAGGAGTCCGCCGTCGAACCTGTCACAACGACCGGATTCAAATCCGTTCTTGTCAAAGTGGAATTGTTGGCAGAAGGCTGAAGGGCTCAAATCCACTTGAAACAGTCAGCCCTAAAGCACACGACACTGTGCTGTGCTGTGCTGTGTCGGGCCGTCTCTTCTTTCCCCAGATTGTTCAGTTTGCCAGGTTAGGATGACAAGTGCTCGATGAGGCGAAAACGCGAGGGACGGCACGGCCCGCGCCGAGCTAGTTTCACATGTTTCAACCTAACCTCAGCTCGTGACCGCTCGTGGTTCGTGGTCGTACGATAGCGCTGATAGCATAAAAGTGCCTATTTCAAACCGCGTTCAATCAGGGGGTGTAGACTGGATGGTTGCCCTTGTCGTCGATCATGTTGACGACGTCGGCATTGATCACGGCCACGACATTCTGCTTTCCCTTGAGCGCCCCTGAGGTATATCGGTTGATTTGCGTTCAATCATGCCGGTCGCTTCGTTTCTTGTAGCGATCAAGGATTGGGATGGGTATCAGAGACACTCGAGTGCGGCCGATGCAGCAAATTCCGAACGGGCGTTCGATTGGGTTCATTGTCGCGTGGAGCTCGAGGGTGATTCCTCCAGCGTTCGTGATTCATTCCCACGTTCCACCTCTTCCACCGCTGCCCTGTTAAGGACCGTATCCTTCCCCGTCATGTTTTGTTCGTTCGTGTCTCATTGTATCGACCGCTGTTGCTTCGGCTGTGACACCATATTCGTGTGTGTCGTTCAGGTCTGTGGTTGATAAGCTGTGTCACTGTCTGAAGCCGGGTGCCCCTTACTTGGGTTTGTGGAAACTGGAAGAGCCGCAACCTTGTGGACCAGCCCAGCGTGGCACATCGGAGTCTTAACGCTTGTCCTCCTCTTTCACGATTTGTCGTAGCCGCCCTTTTTCCTGTTATGCCTCGGATGGAGTTGTAGTATGAATTCGGTCGCCGTACTTTAGCTTGCTCGCAAGCGCACAAATCGAGGTCATATCATCCGTCGGCCGGTTTCGTCAGTAGTAACTGCCGCCGTAAGATGTCACTGTTTCGAATGTCCTTGAATATATCGCGTTGCTGCCTCAAGAGTTCTTCCTGGGGTAGAAGGCGGTACTTGCCCGGCTGTAGGTAACTGATGGGGTAGAAGTTTGGTTCAGGAACAGATTCGTTGGAGAGATGTGCTGCTGCTAGTAGACCGGTAGAATAGAGTGCTCTTGGTACCTGGCGGGCGACGAAGACGAAGGGTCGGAAGGGGAGGTAGATGGCTGTCTGGCCGTTTGGTTTATGAGTGCGCCCGAGGGGGATTTTGGAACCATTCATGTTTTTGGAAGTTTCGAGGCATTTCTGCGCCGGTCAGCGGCCTCTGTCGCAACTTTCGACACCCCATTGTCCAAGCTCGGGTTCAACCGTTCGCTTTACGCTCTCGTTCACACCGCTGCGTCTGTGGTCGTCAGACAAAGGAGTAGCAGCCGAGTTGCGCCAGCGTGCCTGAGTTCAGTTATATGTCTCGCATGTGTTGATCGGTGGTTGATCTGAGAAGCATTAGAGCTTGGGTAGGGTGTCAAGCATGTCAGTTTGTCCCGAACTCCAGGCAATGGCCATGCGCCCTGTGCTGCAAACTCTGCGCAATCATGAAGTAAATACCACCCCATCAATATCCCTGATTCCCCGGAGCAAGCGCTCCGTCCAAGATCCCAGATCGCCATCCTATCTCCCAGAATCTCCGTGTTCTCCAATCGCAATTTCCAATGCTTCTTCTTCCGTTGGACGGGATTTGAAGAGATGAGACCTCAAACTCGAGATGAGTTAAGAACTCTAAATCCTTCAAATGTCGTACGTCGACGGCGTGGATTGCGTGCGTACACATTGCACGGGCACAATCTTACAGGCTTGTTGCAGCTGCGGTGGCCTACTGGTACGCGACTCATCGATCGCAATCCACCCTTGCTGGCTGGCTTGCTTCTGGAACAAGACTGGGCTGGGCGGCTCGTAGGCTCACTGAAGAAATGGGATGGGGCAGGAGAGCCAACTGGAGCTGGACTGGCACTGAATCGGGGGGGAATGATTGGAGACTCAAAACTCCTGCAAAAATGACATGATTGTGCATGAACAAGAACAGACAAGCTTGTCTCTCGTCAGGATCTTCGGAATTTTCTCCGGTTGATATCATTCCGCCGCCTCATTACCCGCAGAATATGCCTATTCTGACATGCAGACAGCCGTGGAATTATTCAATCATGAACTTTCTGTCTTTTGACATTCGAAAACTGGTATCCGGGATTTCTCTGTCCAGCGTCTGCTCAAGGCCCTGTAATGTGGAATAGCCCGTGGATTTGAGCGAATGTTGTTCCGCTCCGAATCCTCTTTATTCCAGAGAGTCTCCAGTCGTCGCAGGTTCGGCATGGAGCGCAGTGCAGCCGTGCGGTAAGTGTAGCTGGTAACTCAAACTGTACGATATGT